ACTTACTAAGCCGTACCAATTTACATCTTTTTCATCAACTTTAGCACTTATTACAACATTAGAAAACATAGGTTTTCTGTGAAATTTCGTGGTAGTACGAATAATATCAGTGCTATCTAAAGCTGCTGATGCAAAAAATTCCATCTGTGCATCATCATCAATTGACATAGTTGATTCCTCTTCAAAAAATTCGTCAAGGCCGATTAGCAGGTTTTGCAAACCTTCTTTTTGTAAAGAGTCTATGTCTTTATTTTTTTTGAGAAAGTTATCAAGATCTTCCAAACTTATTGTCTACAACCGCTTTTCAAACCCTTTTGTTTTTCGTTTTTTTTTGGAAACTTCTTTTTCGGTTAACTTTTTTCTTTTAACCTATATAATGATTATTAGTAATATATAGCCATTTTATTTTAATATATATGAACAGGGACCAAATTGGCAAAAAAATTGCATCACAAAAAATTAATTATCATGAATTATTAATGGCCATCGATAATTCATGATAATTAATTTTTTGTGATGCAATTTTTTTGCCAATTTGGTCCCTTTTTCAGTCTATCGTATTTATTATTTGTTTCATATATTCTTTTTTGTTTGACATGCAGTAGGGATTTTTGATATAAGTCTTATGAAGTGTTTTATATGTTTCTGTGGTTATGCTATTTACTAACCCATATTCTTTAATTGCAAATATAATGTGATAGCACCAAGAATGTAGTTTTGGGAGTTGGAGGCCACTTTGAAAATATTTTGAAAATATTGCAATGAATTCTTGGGCCAATCCATAATAAATGTCTATGATATTATGCATTAATACTGTAATATAGCATTTGTAAAGATAATTGTTTGTTTTACCTGAAGCTGATTACAAGAATTGTTTGTAAACGATTCTTTTCGAGTAGCTATATACATTCGAAGGAACTTGTAGTGAACCTGACATAACCGCTTATTACTAACACCCAGCCTTTCATAATTATTATATAGATTATCTAGGGCAAAGATTATTATTTTCATAAACATCCTAGAAAACAAAAAAAATACTTTAAATTCTTAAGCCCTAACCTACCAGCCTTGTTGTAATGCCTTCGTTAGCCAAAACCAACATATAAAAAGCAAAACTTAAATGATATAATTCACCAAGGCATCAACAATGATGCCAAGAAGATGATATACAACTTACCAAGGTATCAACGACAAAGCCGAAACGATAATACACAGTTTACCAAAGCACCAACGATGATACACAACTTAATGACAAGAAACCAAAATGATGACATAAAACTCACCAAGGCACAAACAACAAAGCCAAATAATGATTTACCAAAGCACCAACGATGAAGCTGAAATGAGGATTCATCAAGACACCAATAACGAAGTTAAAACGACAATACACAACTACCAAAGCACCAACGACGAAGCTGAAATTTTAATTTACCAAGGCACCAACAATGAGAAGCTGAAACGATACAACTCACCAAGGCACCAATGATAAAGCTGAAATATCAATTTACCAAGACACCAATGACGAGAAGCTGAAACGACAACACACAACTTCCCAAGGCACCAACGATAAAGCTGAAATGTTAATTCACCAAGGCACCAATGACGAGAAGCTGAAACGACAACCCCAAGGCACCAACGATGAAGCCGAAATGTTAATTCACCAAGGCACTAACAACGAGAAGCTGAAACGACAACACACAACTCCTGAAGGCACCAATGACGAAGCCGAAATATTAATTTACCAAGGCACGCAACGACGAGAAGCTGAAACGATGATACACACACCAACAATGAAGCCGAAATGTTAATTCACAAGGCACCAACGACGAAGCTGAAATGACAAAGCTAAAGTGACTATAACTGATCTAGTACCAAATTCAAGCGACGGCTCCAATAATAATGACAATTTAAGACTAACAAAAAAAAAATCTAAGACTAACAAAAAAAAAAAAATATTAGAACCACGTTAAAACAAAAAAAATAAAATAAAAATTAACTGATTTAATCAGTTGATAATCACTATTTATATCTGTGATTTGATGTTACACAAAAATTAGATAATTCTTAAAATCTATATTGTAAAACATAATGAAGTTTAATTTTTGTTTAAAATTTAGAATTTTTAAGCTATAGCTTGAAACCTAGAATGTATTGTTGAATCAGGCAGCTTTATAAATATAAATAATCTTTGCTTTACTCAATTAAGCGATGACTCTATATTTTAAACTACCAAAGATTATACAGATTTAAGTATTTATTTTATTATTTAATTTATTTATATTTTTATATTTTTTTATTTATTTCAAGACATTAAATAAATGCAAGCAAGAAAGATGCCAAAAAAATGAACCTATTATTTAAATCAACACAAATTTGATGA